CACCCCCAGCTGGGGTGGGGAATTTTGGGAGTTGAAGTCCACTCATCTTAAAGTGGCCAAGTTTGGACAACACTGTTTTAGGAAAACAAAGGCTGTTCACCCAGGCCTTTAGTGAGGGAGAGAGAGGGAAAGCCCTTGCTTCATTCCATCGGGTCTGTTGCGCTTGCCATCTTTTATCTTTTTCTTTTATGTTTTATTGATTTTATTGTAATTTCTTTGATTTTTTTGAGCCGCCCAGAGTCACTGAGAATCAGATGGCATACAAGTTTAATAAATTATTGTTGTTGTAAACTGCAAATTCAGAAAAAAAGTGCCATAGAGTAGAAACTCAGAACAATGAAAAAAGAGAACACCACTAATACAGAAACTATTTTTTGTATACCAAGCAGCTAAAAGAAAGAGTAAGCCTCAAGAAAGAGTAAACCTCAACTTGGTTGGGTATCCTATACAGTGACACTACCGAAAAAGCTCCACTCTTTGACTCTGCCTCCCACACTGAAAATACCCATAAGCAAGGCCTCAACTGCTGAAGTGAGCGCACAGGAAAATATAATACAAGGTTTTCAGATTTTGAACAACTTCCAGGAGAGAAAGAACGAACTTTCCATGGAGTAAAGGGGGAATGTTTGCTCTCACTTCCACTGCTGTAAAGCAACGTTTCTCAATCTTGGCAACTCTAAGAAGTGTGGACTTTAACTCCCAGAATCCCCAAACACCATGGCTGGCTGGGGAATTCTGGGAGTTGAAGTCCACACATCTTAGAGTTGCTAAGGTTAAGAAACACTGCTGTAAAGCTTAGGAAACAAGGAGGAACACCAAGCCCTTCTTTTTCTTCCCCAAACTCTCCACCAGGGAAAAACATGATAGTTTCTCACCACGAGTTGGGTATGTGCAGTGTATGGGAACTCAAGTACGGGAAACCCTGTAGACTTTACATAAGAAGCTTACAAGGAACTGCCCCTGAACTATTATCCATATACTTGTTAACACGTACGTTTATAAACCTTTCTTTTGGTAGGAAAGCAGCAGCTTTCTAATTATGGTTAAAATATCTTGTAAATAAGTGAACCAAGAGTCAAATACACACTGATAACCCCCATTTTAAGAAAGCAGATTATTACAAACTCCCAGTCATGGTTAACAAAGCAATGCTTAAATGAGTGTTTTGTTGGTAAGAACTGTCTTAAAATGAAGTAAACCTGAAAATCGCTATTTTTTGTCATTACTGGCTGTAGAATTCAAAGAACAGCCTACAATATTAAAAAAAAAATTAGCAGATAAATTGTTGGAGATATGTTTCAACTGCTTCTTTTTGGTACGTTAGAAGCTATTCAAAATTATAGAAAAATTGCCCCTTTTAAGTAACATAGTTGCTTTCAGTTGCTTTTGTTTATGCTACAGTTCACTGTCTATGAAACAACATGAATCTAAAAAAGGACAACTAAAAATTAACATGATTAGTAAAATCCTCTGGTGGGAGTAAAACATGCATTAAAAAACATTTTGTTGGAAGAAATGCAAAACAAACTATTTAAGCTATGAGGAAAAAAATCTAAATCCCATATTAAAGTAATACTTGCTCAAAAGTCACAAAATAAGTAAATATGTTTATCAGGCAAGAGGTTACAAAAAATCTATTAGTCCCAATAACTGGGACTAATATTATCAGGACAATGATTGGGACTAATATTTATTCTTATTGAAAGCACTGGTCCACCTAATTTGGAACTGGCTTTTGGCATCACGGAGGTACCAAGCACTGAATTTGAGAACACTGGGCACCAATGATATGCATTATACTAGCAAAACGTGGTCGTACTGTGAAGACAACTTGTGTTCACAATTCTGTGAATTCCATGTCAGGCAGACTGCAGATATTCACTCATCTCAGGCATGCAAACTATGCCTGCAGGAGAGATGATTATATTATCTGGCTCATGTGCAAACTCAGATTTCCTACCCAACCACCCCTTGCTAGACAGACAACTGGAGTTTCTTTTGAAACAAGGATAAGCTGCTAGACACAGGTGGGAAACAGTGGAGTTTAACATTTCCCCACAGACTCAGGAAAAAAAGAAATCCAGGTGAAGTGGAAGCAGGGGAATTCCTGTTTCAAAGGTCTTGTTTATTTCTCTAGAAAGAGGGTAGCATTTAGGCAGGATTATGCACATAGACCCTTGCGTTATTTTGATGTGTGTGTATGCTACAGTGGGGCAAAAAGTATTTAGTCAGCCACCAATTGTGCAAGTTCTCCCACTTAAAAAGATGAGAGAGGCCTGTAATTTTCATCATAGGTATACCTCAACTATGAGAGACAAAATGCCACTTAAAAAGATGAGAGAGGCCTGTAATTTTCATCATAGGTATACCTCAACTATGAGAGACAAAATGCCACTTAAAAAGATGAGAGAGGCCTGTAATTTTCATCATAGGTATACCTCAACTATGAGAGACAAAATGCCACTTAAAAAGATGAGAGAGGCCTGTAATTTTCATCATAGGTATACCTCAACTATGAGAGACAAAATGCCACTTAAAAAGATGAGAGAGGCCTGTAATTTTCATCATAGGTATACCTCAACTATGAGAGACAAAATGCCACTTAAAAAGATGAGAGAGGCCTGTAATTTTCATCATAGGTATACCTCAACTATGAGAGACAAAATGCCACTTAAAAAGATGAGAGAGGCCTGTAATTTTCATCATAGGTATACCTCAACTATGAGAGACAAAATGCCACTTAAAAAGATGAGAGAGGCCTGTAATTTTCATCATAGGTATACCTCAACTATGAGAGACAAAATGCCACTTAAAAAGATGAGAGAGGCCTGTAATTTTCATCATAGGTATACCTCAACTATGAGAGACAAAATGCCACTTAAAAAGATGAGAGAGGCCTGTAATTTTCATCATAGGTATACCTCAACTATGAGAGACAAAATGCCACTTAAAAAGATGAGAGAGGCCTGTAATTTTCATCATAGGTATACCTCAACTATGAGAGACAAAATGCCACTTAAAAAGATGAGAGAGGCCTGTAATTTTCATCATAGGTATACCTCAACTATGAGAGACAAAATGTGATTTTCTGGATTTTTTCCCCCATTTTGTCTCTCATAGTTGAGGTATACCTATGATGAAAATTACAGGCCTCTCTCATCTTTTTAAGTGGGAGAACTTGCACAATTGGTGGCTGACTAAATACTTTTTTGCCCCACTGTACTTAAATATTATTTCATATATTTCTATAAATCAGGAAATAGCATATAATTCCAACAGTTGTCAGATATTTGGATTGTACTCCTGAGTCTAGCAATATGGACCTTAAGTAAGCATTTTCCTTGATGAGCTGGAATTTTGTAAGACCTAGAGTCAAATAGTAAAACAAGCAATTTCTTAGCAAAATCATAACATCTCTGCCTTATGATCTAACTGGAACATTATGTCCTATTTTACATTTTCAGTTTGTTTTTTAACCAAGCTACCAGTTGTTGCTTCCCCATAAATTGGGTAGCTCTAGAAGTTATATTCCTTTTTAGCTTTGGGCATTTATATTTTGATATTTAAATTTAAATAAGGTTTTTACATTTGATTTGTTTCTTTTTTTTTTAATAAATTTGATTTTGCTTATCTCTTGTAAGATTGGTCTACCCAGATTTATACTAATCTCCAAATCTCCAAAGGAGAGGCATACTAAGTCTGATACTACATGTAGAATCCCTATGAGTATTGATGGCCTTACCCCATGAGTTTTTCTAATCCCTTTTAAAGCAGAATAAACTTTGCATCGCCCAAGTTCTTGTGATATTAAAGGAAGAAAAAACATTCACTTTCCCAACAACATGCGTAATTTTGAATACCTCTGTTATTCCCCTCATTTGCTTGGCAACATTGTAACCTTTTCCCACTGAGTTGCTCCTATTTATTTTGGCTGCATTTCATTTTTCCAGAGCCAGTGCTTATGTGGCATACTCAAATTAGTTAGCAGTACTTGAACAATATGTAGCCCGTTGTCCTTAACACTTTACACTGATATTTCCATTTTCCTGGAGATCAGCAACAGGAAAATTTTAAAAAAGGTCTCGTATAAATAGTTGCTATACTTCACTTTATGCCACTTACACTGTTTAAATGTCTAAATTATTATTATTTAACATTCATTAAAAAAGCAGCCAATTCTGAATTAAACCTGAGATATTTCAGGTTGAAAAAAAAACATACCATATTAAGGCCATCCATTTGAGGAGTTCCATCTCTGTTTGTTTTCAATTCTTGCTTTCCAACAAATAGCTGCAATTTTAAAAGTTGACAAAATTACTCTCAAAGATCAATAAACTGAACACTGCAACTCCTCAAATGTTTTCTCCCCCCACCTACACTCCCTCAGCACTGAATTTCCTGCCTACTCTCCATTCCATACACCGCTTTTCTCTCCCTTCCTCTAGTTCTACTCTCCTATCTACTTTCCACTTCTTCTTTCCCTCTCCCAGTGTTCATCTCCTGTGCTAGACTTCTTAGGCATGTGCTAATTCCATTCAGAGCTCAGGATGGCTCAAAATGAACCATCCTAGCACAACCTGGTAAGATGACCAAACAATGTAACAAAAAACCACAGTAAACACAACCCTATTTAGGAGTTATGAAAACTGTAGCTATTTAACCTTCAGATTATTTATTTTATTATATTGACTGTCATCATTTTTTTAATGTTTTCCCTAAGGGGCACCTTATAAATCCTTTAGGCAAACACAAAGGTATCAAAACAGGAGCCAGATGCTTTATATTCGGATACAGAAATGCATGTGACTGAAGGCTTACATACCCAGTAAAGCAGGCAACCAAAAGCATACATATCTGAAGCTGGAGAAGGCGGCCGACCCTCTTTTAGTTCAGGAGAAGTTAAACTCAAGCCATTCAAAGTCACGGAATTTGACAAAGCACGCTGACTCTAGAAGTAAAACATTCCAGAACTTAGTACAGAAGCTTTGACTCCTCATCCTCACTCCTCATATTGAGGCCCTGATATGTGTCTGTTGGGGGGGGGGGAGTTCTATTGTTATTAATTTGCATAGGCAAAAACCTCCCACCCCATTAGCAGTTTCCTCCATGCAAATAGCAGGTTAGAGGGAGTCCAGTATGGACTGGAACTGCAGCTGGGTGTGACAGTGGTAGGAAAGAGATAAATCCTTCCGAGGTCCACATTAGGGGCCCATCTTGTTTGAGTCTCCTATGCTGACCATTTCTGAAAGAAAAATAATGTCAAGGAGAAACTGCTTGATTAAAAGGTAGCATACAGCTTGAGCTTCCCATGCCAGAAACTCTGCACATTCTGCAGTGAGTTGCCATGTTTATATGCCACCTTATCTCTCAACCTATGGTCCCTATCTTTCCAAAATTCAGGAAGTTCTGTTAATGAGATCTGTGGTCCCACAGCTAAACTCATTATTCATATGCAAACATGAATAATGAGCATGTGGAGGATGCACACGTGCTACTCAAGACTTTGATTATAACGACAGCACAGTGGAAGGCAAAAGACATAGACAAAGACGATAATCTCCTCAAGAAGCACTCCCCCATTTAGTAATAATTACAACATTTGCAAAAGTACTGGTAATTTTGCTTGCAGCATTTTAGTAATCTTGAGTATTTTAAAAGTTGTTCTGCATACAGGACTAAACAACATAACACCAGACTGATATATGTATTTTAAGAGGGATTCCAATGTCAATACCTATTAGTTATTTTACACAGATAAACTGAGAGTAATTTATATTCTAAAAATAAGAAGATGTAGCAATATGTTTCTGTATGATCCAGATTTAATATGTTTAAGAATTGATTTAATTTTGTATTAATTTTATATGGATCTTTTTTCATTTTCAAATTTATTTTAATCACTGTAATGCATGCATTCTTTTATCATATTATCACTGATTAACTTATTCTGTGTTATACTTTACTAATAAGAAAAAACCAGCATAATACCAATATCAAAATACTATACTGAGTAACTCCTCAAATCCCTTGGATTTTATATAGCCTCAAAAAGTGGAAGTATTCATGCTATTAATTTACACTGTGCAAGTCCTGGTTATTTACAATGAAAACATTATTGTTTACCTCGGATTTTGTGAAATCAAAATCTCCAACAATTCCCTGTTCTCTGTTCATTGCAAATATGTTGTTTTCATGCAGCGATCCGTGAATTATATCAGCTCTGTGTAGTGCACACAGACCATGTGCTACTCCTTTCATTACTTTTAATGTTTCCTAGTTAAAGTGATTACAAAGAAGGTCCTATGAGATCAGACCCAAAATATTCCCAGAAGCATTTCAAAAATGCTCATTGCACATCCAATTAAAAAGCAAGAAAAAAACACTTTCAAAACTCCTGTCAAACTGGATTTATAATTTACCATGTAGGATTAACTTTCAATAAATTAATTAATCCAGATTGCAGAGTTAGATGTTTTGTCAACAGTTGTTTTAAAAGCAATGACTGAATTCCAAATGTTTGAACTATGCTGGAAGCCATACAACAGAATCCTTCTGTTAATTCCTCCATCATTCTTCTGGGGAAGGGGATCACCATTCTAATAACTAATGCTAATAACCAGACAAGGCATAACGTGGGAGTTCTAAGTATAACATTTCTGACATCTTTCTAATAGAAGAGAATATGTGTAGCTCAGGGTTGAACAGCAGAGGCCTTGACATCTTTCTATTCTCCAGAAAGCAATGGTGGGAAAGTATGAGGCAGGTTGTGGGAGAGAGGGCTAACTAGGATCAGCTTATCTAGGATCAGTTTTAGAGTATAAACATATATTAAATATGGGAAATTACACTCATCTTGCTCAGCTAACCAAGAAAGTCAAAACAGGAGTGGCTCCAACTTCTTCCTTCTTCTTGGCCAGAATACTTCTGTAGGCTTAGGACATCCTACACATGCACAGAACAGGCTTAGGGGAAAAATAGGAGGCGGGGCTGATGTGGGCTGGCATCTACTCTTTGACAGCCAGACATCTAAGTCTGAAGGGGGACAAACACTGTTTGGGATAAGCATTGGGCTAGGGATAAAGAGCAAGCGAGACAGCAAATTCAGTAAAGCCAGTCACAGAGGAAAAAAGCATCTTGTAAAGAACACCGAAAGCAAAGTGTGATATGGAACACACCCAGAACACTCACACAAATACATTCAAAGACTGAGAGAAAGGATAGAGAAAATTCTCTGAACATTCCATAAGTGACCAAAAGCAGTCAGTCAATCTACAGGGGCATTTGATATCTTTTTTCAGAATTACCAATGTGCCCACTGACTTAAAGAAGTTGAAGATATTTTGCACTAAATTTAACTTTCTAAAGGAAGCAAAAAAAAAAAATTTTTTTTAATGATATGAGCCAAAAAATACACACCAGGTATCTATGAAAATCCATAAAAATTGTTTCTGAAGCTTTCCAACTGTGAATACCCAATTTTAATGCCAACCATGAGCTATTTTCAGTTATATAGTTATGGAAGGCATAGATAATATGGCCTGCAAAAAAATGCATTCACTGATTAGAATACATTTCCCAAATCTAGTGGCCTCCAGATGTATTAAGACTGTAATTCCCAGAATTCTCCAGCTAGCAGAACTAACAAAACTGGGGAGTGCCAGGATGAAAGGTTGGCTCAGAAATTGAGTAAGGTGGCTTCTTTTCACACCAACTATCACATTACTTACTTTTGGGGTTAAAGGTGTAGTCATCTGCAGTGTGCCCAGGCTTGCTCCAGCATAGTATGGAATCATTAGATATGCCACAGGATCAGACTTAACACATAAAACACAAAAGCAAAAGTATTATGTGCGGGAACAGAAAGCATCAAATGTCATGATACTGAAACACTTCCCTAATTGTGTTTTTATATCGTGTATATATAGTTAAAAAAGAGTCTTATCTTAAAGCAGGGAAAGGCCTTCCTATTAAAACTGTGAATGAGATCTTTGAACCATTCATTCATTCATTCATTCATTCATTCATTCATTCATTCATTCATTCATTCATTCATTCATTCATTCA